CGGTTTACACGTTAGACGCAAGTCAACATTTAGAAGCTGCTTTCATGGTCTGCCAATGTAAAGATCTCAAAAAATTTACAAAATTGACCGGAAATTTGGCGTTGTGGCACATTTTTGCAATCCTCACAATACTAGGCACCTTTTATGTCCCAACCAGGAGTTTAGCAAAATGGACAGTTCCAGAGTTTCAGGACAGTTAAAGTTTCGTGACTGCTTTCATCGTCTTGAAATGAAAACATCTTGAAAAATCTACTAAGTGGCCTTGTAATATTTAGTTGTCGCCCATTGTTGTAATCCTTGATAACTTCTGAACATTCCATGTCCCCAGACGGACTTTCTAAAAATGCACAGTTGTAGAGTTTCAGGACAGTTAACGTTTTATGACTGCTTTCACCGACCAAAAATGAAAACCTTTTGCAAAATCGACCGCATCGCCTGCGAATATTCAGTTGTGGCACATTATTGTAATCCTCATGACATTCTGGACATTTCATGTCCCAAGACGCGCTTTCGAAAAAGGGACAGTGTTAGAGTTTCAGGACAGTAAACATTTTTTGACTGCTTTCATGGGCTACAACTAAAAACACCCCCAAAAACCAACTTTTCCGCCTGAGTAGAGAGAGTTGTGGCCTACTGCTGAACTCTTTAGTGACTTTTGAATATTTAGTGTCCCTACTAACTGCTCCGAAAAATGGACGCTTTTGGAGTTCCAGGACAGGGAACATTTTATGACTAGTAATTTTATGAGAGTAAAAACACCCCCAAAAATCAACTTCTCGGCCTGACCAGAGGGAGTTGTGGACCATTTTTGAACTCTTTAGCGAATTTGGAACATTTGTTGTCCAAGCCAACCGTGCAGAAAGATGGACACTTTTGGAGTTCCAGAACAACAAACATTTTATGATTGCTTTCATGGGCTTCAACTAAAAACACCCCAAAAAACAAACTTTTCGGCCTGACAAGATGGAGTTGTGGACCATTTTTGAACTTTTTAGCGAATTTGTAATATTTGTTGTCCAAGCCAACCGTGCAGAAAAATGGACACTTTTGGAGTTGCAGGACACTAAACATTTTATGACTGCTTTCATAGGCTTCAACTTAAAACACCCCCAAAAACCAACTTTTATGCCTGACCAGAGGGAGTTCTGGCCCATTTCTGAACTCTTTACTAAATTTGGAATATTTAGTGTTTCAAGTAACTTCTCTGAAAAAATGACACTTTTGGAGTTGCAGGACAGGAAACATTTTATGGCTGCTTTCATGGGCTTCAACTAAAAACACCCCAAAAACCAACTTTTATGACCGACCAGAGGGAGTTGCGGCCCATTTTTGAACTCCTTAGCGAATTTGGAATATTTAGTGTCCTAACCAACTGCTCATAAAAATGGACACTTTTGGAGTTCCAGGACACTAAACATTTTATGACTGCTTTCATGAGCTTCGACTAAAAACCCCCCAAAAAGCAACTTTTCGGCCTGACAAGAGGGAGTTGCGGCCCATTTCTGAACTCCTTACTAAATTTGGAATATTTAGTGTCCCAAGTAACTTCTCTGAAAAATGGACAGTTTTGGAGTTGCAGGACACTAAACATTTTATGACTGCTTTCATGAGCTTCAACTAAAAACACCCCCAAAAACCAACTTTTATGACCGACCAGAGGGAGTTGCGGCCTATTTTTAAACTCCTTGACGAATTTGGAATATTTAGGGTCCTAACCAACTGCTCATAAAAATCGACACTTTTGGAGTTGCAGGACAGGAAACATTTTATGGCTGCTTTTATGGGCTTCAACTGAAAACACCCCCAAAAACCAACTTTTGTGCCTGACTAGAGGGAGTTCTGGCCCATTTTTGAACTCCTTGGCGAATTTGGAATATTTAGTGTCCTAACCAACTGCTCAGAAAAATGGACACTTTTGGAGTTCCAGGACACTAAA